ACAGGCCAGCAATCAGGAAACTGTTGGAGGTTGCATTAAAAAAAGTAAACGATTGTTGAAAGCAACATCACAGCCACTCAATCTATTTTTAAATGTTCAATGGGAGCTTAGGTTTTTAATGATTTATGTCTTAGTTTGTCAGGGACTTCATGAAAAACACTGTAGAAGGTTAAAATAACATACACGTGTTGCATACAGGATTTGTAGCCAAGGCTAATCCGCAACACCTTTGCCTGGTTATGTTTCATAACATTTCACATATCAAATGTGCTCGTTTTCTCATTTTTATTGTTTTTAGTTTAAAGCAGAGTAAAGTAAACAGATTATACTTTAGTACCCAGACCCGTACACGGACCCCTCTGTCACCACTCCCTCCTAGCTGACAACCACTTTCCCCCTTCCTTATCTTTTGTGTGTGTGTGTATGCATGTGTGTTCTGTCTTTGGCTATGTTGATTAAAGGAGTGGAGACTGGAGGTGGGGCTACCAGGTGTTCCTCATTATGCCCTGCAATTTATACCTGGTTCCTGATTCTACTCGCTGCCAATGTTCAGCTCCCAGGTCAAGCTCTGACCCTGGAGGAGTCCAGTTGCCTGCCCCTGCCTCAGCCTATGTCCCTACGTGAGTACAACGCCCAAACCAATGGCCAAAGAGAAGGCGCCATCAGGAAATCAAGGCAGCTCTCAGCTGTGTCTCTTCAGCTAACCCATCCACCTGGAGCACTCAACTGCCCTGGGTGGAATATGCCCACAACACCATGCCCAACACCTTCTCAGGTATCTCCCCTTTCCCCTGCCCTCTTGGGTACCAACTTCCCTTGTCCCTAGGCAGGAGCGTGAACTTACATTACCCTCAGTCCAGGACCACATGCGATGCTGCCACAGAGCCTGGGAGAGAGCCCACATTGCCCTGCTCCGTGGGTATGTCATGGATTGGGAGCGTTATGGACCTGAGGAATGTTGCTGGGTTCCGTGTCGCCAGATCTACGACCCTGCACTTGTCAGGGATTTCCATTGGCTGCATCTATGTGTGTGTGTGTGTGTGTGTGTGTGTGTGTGTGTGTGTGTGTGTGTGTGTGTGTGCGTGTGTGTGTGTGTGTTCTCTCTCTTCCGTAGTGTTGTTTGCAGGAGTGAAGACTGGAGGTGGGGCTACCAGGTGTTCCTCACCCTGCCCTGCTGCTTATACCTGGTCCCTGGTCCTGCTCACCGCCAGATCGTGGACGCTGTCATACAGTTAGTCTCGTTCCAGCCATCAAAGTAATGTTGATTCGTGAAAGCAGCTTTTGCTAATTCCTGTCTCTCTCTACCCACAGTGTCTCACCCAGCTCTTCTCTGTGACTTTGTGAATATGGGTCCTGATGGAGTATTCTGGGAGCTTTAATATGGCTCTGGGTTACACATCTACACTCTACTATTTTGTGTGAGCAAAATTAGGCTGGTATTAACTGATAGCAAGCAAACAGGAAAGTAAGGCATCAGTCACTAAAGTGCTGCATCTATATGTCATTGTCTCCCCTCTCCTAATGTATTTAGTGTGCGTCCTCCCTTCCTCTTTGTTCCTTTGTAACAAGAGTTCTAGCCTTGTTTTTTAATCTTTAGCCTTTAGTGTATAACTTTTGCTCAGTTTTGACCTCACCTCAGCTTTCTCCTTTAGGACCAGTCTGTCTTGTGGGTTTTGTTGTCCGGTGTACCATGCCTTTCACTGACGTCTGTATACCATACCCCGACAGAGCTATAGTAGTTGTGCATTAGGGCAAATGCTTAGACCACAACAGGCAATGTTTCTTACTTCACACTAAACTCCACTAAAATTAAACAGTGCTTGTCTATGACCTCCCTAAATCTGCTGGTGAAAAACAGTGAAGAGACCCTTACCTTCCACGATACTGGGTAATTACTTTTTTTTTCTAAGTTTTAGATTATTATGTTTGCTAGGTTGATGGTTTAAGTGCTTCTCATTTTCCTTATTTCATGTCTCCTTGCTTCTCTGTCCAATATATTTCAATATTTTTCAATACTTTTTTCTCTTTTGGTAATAATGTGAAGACTATCACTTATTTCTCTGTTTTGCACATTATGTAAAAATCTTTGTAAATATATCTACAAATCTCTACAAATGCAGTACATACCTTCTTATTTATGATTGAGTTATTATTTTGTTATACTTGTTTTTTTCTTCTACCTTGTTTTTCCCTATGCTGATGTAATAAGTGAATTTCGCAGACGTATGATCAATAAAGGTTTATCTTATCTTATCTTATCTTATGTCAATGTCTCAGTTCCCATATTTCTGTTCAGAAGAGGGAGGGGCAAGAAGGGAGGAGGGATCCCAGAGTAGGCTGATCATCACTACAGTTTTATACTGGAAAAAATAACAGATTCAACTCTGGTGTAATATTATGACCATGTTTAGTGTTTTAGTTAATTTTTGTTCTTATTCACCACTGAGTTAAAATTATTGGATCTGTAGTAACTGTAGGTCTGATCAATAAAGGAAGCATAAAAGCAGTTTAGCATGTAAAAAAATATTTTTAAATAAAATATGGTAACATAATTTCTTCTTTAAAACTTATACACTACTACATTTCTTTCAACAAATTAAGAAATATTCTGATTATTACCTGGACTATTACATAATGAATTTACAAAAATAAATAAAGATATACCATTCACACTCATATTCACATCTATGGGCATCTTAGAGTCGCTAATTAACCAATCTGCATGTCTCTAGATTTGGGGAGGAAGCCACAGAAAACCCAGGCAGGCACGAGACGAACATGCAAACTCCACACAAAAAGGTTCCAGCGGCCAGCAGGTTCAAACCCAGAAATTGTGAATGGTTGTTTGTCTCTATATGTAAGTACTCCAAGGCATATTTAACCCATACAGAGTGATAGCTGATCCAGCTGTGACCAGCTGTGCCATTGTTGTTAGAAGCTGACATCACTTCAGGTCACAATTCAAATGAAAGTACATCTATTTTCTTTAAAACCTTGTTTCCTTAATTCCTCTCTCCTTGCATCGTTTCCTTAGATCAGCCTGGATCTGAATTCTGCACCAATTGAAGGAGGACAGGACTGGTAGGACAGATTTACAATAGTCAATATGGGATGTAATCAAGGTGTGAATGAGAATAGCAGCGTTGTTTTGTGTAAGCAACAGACAAAGGCAGGTGTAAGTATGTAAACTGAGCAACTGATGTCAGGTGAGGTGAAAAAGTGTCAGTTGTTGTAAAATATTGTTAAGTGTGGAAAACAGGGCTCTTGTTTTCCCTTCACCTGACCTAAATAGATGGGTAGGTATCTTGAGAAACCCAGGCCCATGGATTGGGCCCTGATGATGTTGGTGGTGGGGAGGAGGGGGCTGATAGCTGTACAGACAGCACAGATGTGTCAGGTAAAGTATTGAAGCTGCATTAATTGGCCAATGGCCACTTGGGAGTGCCTACTGTGCATAATTCATCAACATAATTTCAGTTTAATCCTTAAATTTCCGTTGAAGTTGCTTCATATGTTCCACATCTTAAACTTATTCATTGACTGGATGAGTCATTCACTTGAAAGTACTAACAATATGTTTAGAATCATTCATGATCAGAGACTTAAAATTCTTTCTTGACTTATAGGTCCATTTAACAGCTGTTCTGAAATGGAAATTGAGTTTCATGGAATTTAGATGCTCAAATTTCCATTTTCCCCAGAGTGCTGAGATCCTGGTATATTTTTGTAAAACGAGATTAGCTACAAAATGGATGTTGTGGTGAGTTTTGTTCAGTGTTGAAGAAAATTTTACCATTTCTTCTCTACAGTAATTGAACTCCTTTGCAAAAGCCCAAAGGCATCATGGATAAATGTCCTGAATCAAGAATCAGTATGGCCATTCTCAAGCAGTTATTGTATACAAAACCAAAGTTGATAACACACACTTTACCATAATTATTAGGGTATTTTATTTATTTATTTTTAGTTATGTATGACCTGTGAACAAGTAGGCACTTTTTGCAGTAAACTGGCAGGAGACTGGCATGTGAAATTCTGTATCACATGTACATTGTCATTTTGATCATTTTTTACAAAGTAGTTTGAACAACTTTTTCTTAGTAACTTTAGTTAACCAAACTGTACCTCCCTATATCTTTGCTTTAGTTCAACTTCTTCCAATGTGAAATAATTGCTTGCAACACTGGTTTAGTTTATAATTCATTTATTATCTAGCCCATATATTGGCAACTAATTTGAATTGTTTTTTTTTGTTGTTTTTTTTTTTTTTGTTCATGGTTGAACAAATTAAATGAACTGTCGACACTATAGTAATATCTCAGACAACATTTCTATATAATGCTCAACCAAAACACAGAGGGAGACAGACAGACCGGTCTAACTGCCGCCTGTACCCAATGAAGGCTGCTAATATGGCTGATGTGAGACACCGCTAGTGCACAATGCTACAATGTTATAGCGTTACAGTGTTGGCTGATGAGGTAACAGTGTGTAAGCTTCACATCCTCCATTATTGTAAGTCTGTCTCTTTCTGTGTTTTGTGTGCGTGTGTGTGGATGGGTGGGGAGGGTGGACAGGCAGACAAGGGGAATGATAGATCATTATAATTATTTAAAGCTGATTAGGAAATAATTCAGTATCGGAGATCGACAAAGGCATATCAGCCTACATGTAACGCATTCAGTAGGAAATGGCGTATATCCGCCATTGCTCTTATTTTTTCTTCTTCCACCCAGTACACACACACACACACACACACACACACACACACACACACACACATACGCGCGCGCGCGCAACAAATGACGTAGTGCTCAAGCTGCGAAAAACAGCGTCGGGTTCTTATGGATGTGTCATAATCGTATGATTCCACTTTGGTGAAAGTTGTTTTAACTGTGTTTTCTACGAAACATGTCATTCAAGGCACTAGTTTGGGATTTGACTAGCAACACATATTCATCCGCTTCCACATGAGTGTCAAGAGCACAGCAGTACCCGGATGGACTGTCATGGCCGCCGTCGCTGTGGTTCCACAGAGAGGAGAGAAGGAAGGCAAATGTTTCTACTGTGTGTTTTTTCAAGCTTCACCTTCTTCTCATAATGTCGGACGTTGACCGGACGCCGCATCAACTTCCATCGAGTTCATAGTAAGATACAACAGAATTTCCGTAACTTTGAATATCTTGGCGTGGGTGGGGGCTTCATTTTGGTGTAAAATAACTGCTTATTAAACTCCTTAGATAGTAACATTGTCCTGAAGTGGCTGACATATATCCATGTATCGAGCTGAAAGTTGCCACAATGCAGTAAAAGCAGAGAGCGCTGAGACCGGATCCTTTGTTGCTGTGTGTCTACAGCCTGTTATGCTCCTACAGATGCAGCCTTCCCTCGCCTTTCCTCAACTTAAGCGACTGTGGAGCAAGTCTCTCGGAAAAGTAAATCTAAATTAAATTAAGATGTGGCACTTTAATGTTCAGGTGGATATTCACATTCTTGCAACATGTTGTACTTGTCTCTATGTTGGAGGCTCAGTGGAAATGCAGTTTTGAGACGATGCAACTTTTCCTCATCTCCAAGCTTCATTTATATCTGTCCCTTTTAGATGGTATGGGCCTGGAGTAGCCTACCTGTCTGCAGTCCAGGTGTTCACTTGTCTTTCTTAGTGCTGTTACACTATGAGTGCCCTGTTCCCAGTTAAATTAAAATAATAAAAGCTAAGAAGGCTTAATCTCCTGTATTGTGGAATTTGATTCGGGTAGTATAATTTCTATCCTGTTTTCAAGTATGTTATGTTATAGATTATGTAAGTCAGCCTCAGTATTTGTTAAGAAAGTGTTAACAGAAATTACATTTTCTGGGACTGAAGTAGCTGGTGCAGATAAGTCATAAAATGATGGCAGCCATTTTTCCCCCAACATGGCTTCCTTGAATCCACAGCATTGACAGCTGACTGAGACTTAGGGAGTTGTAGGCTGATACAGGTCTCCTGCTGAACTTTAATAGTGAACATTAATACTTTAATTATAAAATTGAAATAAAGCAGTGATACCTGTAATCAACAATGTTTGTTAATAGAACAGACCCTGTTGCATTATGCTGATTTAATTAAGCCTATATCTCAAAATGTGGCACAGAAAACACCAGCCTTCCCACAGAGATATTTCCAGTTGTTTTTTAATGCCTCCTGACACTTTCTGTTAAATGGAATTTATGCTCGCTCATTTAGGTGGGATTCTACAACACTGCAGTACTTAAATTAAGTTTTTTTTTTTTTTTTATTACGATTGAAGTAATCTGCTAATGAGTGATTCATTGTATGATCTTAAAATGTCAGAATTATGAAAAAGCATGTTTCATTTTACAAAATTCTAGGCAACATCTTTACACTGTGCTTTGTCCAAATAACAGTCTAACACCCAAATACATTAAAAGAGAATGCTATTAATATATTTATTATTATTATTATTATTATTATATATCATAACGTTTAAAACATACACATCTATTTTTATATGCAGAAGAAGCATAAACAAGCCTTAAAAAAAACTAAAATAATGAATGTGTAAAAAAGATTGGTATTTGTAAAAAAACAAGAAAAAAGGAAACAAAATTGATTTAATCAGTGGTGACGTTAAAGACTTTGAGGAAAAAAAGAAGTGCTGTGAACTGTATAAAACCCATGCTCCATGTTCCCACACTGTGTATTGTACTGGTGCCTGAACTAATTAATGCATAAAAAACAAAAAGCATATAAAGACGGTAGATGACTTTTTTTTTTTTGCTTTTGCTCAGGCAAATTTGAACTTTAAATTGAACAATATATTTACTGTTAACAGTGACTGTTGAAGTATACTTAAGTATATAAATAAAGACAACATATTTACATAACCAATTGCAATAATTAAACATTAAAGGTTACAGTACTAATAATAGCTAAATAAGTTTGTTGAGTTGGCACTCTTAGTATTCTACAAATTCCAGCTCCATATTATCATACAATCTCAAGAAAAAGTAAGTAAACATTTGGAATGATCTGAATTTCTGTCTAAATTTGTCTTAAAATATGATCAGATCTTCATTTAAGTTATGAACAAACACAATCTATTTTAACTAAGAACACACAAATCATTGTATTGTTCTTGTCCATTCAAGCATTTACAGTGTACGTTGGAAAAAGTATGTGAACCCCTTGGCTATGGGCATTAACAAAAGCTAATTGGAGTCAGGAGTTATCAAACCTGGAGTCCAGTCAATGAAACCATATTGGCAGTGTGACTTATAGCTACTTTGACTTATAAAGAACACTTTGAGTTTCTTCTTATTCACAAGAAACATCTGCTGATGTGAACCACGCCTCACAAAAAAAAATCTCAGAAGATGAAGGGTCAAGAATTGTTGATTACCTCAAAGGCTTAAGATATTCATCAGTCCACAGTCAGACAAACTGTGTAGATGAAATGGTTTACAGTGTCAAGTAGTCTGAACCCTGTGGAATGACATGGTTTTCTGCATTGATTGCTTATAAAATGTGATCTGATCTTCATTTACGTCACAATTAAGACAGATACAGTGTCCCTAAGCTAATATCACACAAACAGTTATAATCTTTTGTGTCTTTATTAAATATTCACAGTGCTGGTGGAAAAAATAAGTGAATACTTGAATCTAATAACTGGTTAAACCTCCTTTGGCAGCAATAATCTCAAACAAGCTGTTCCAGTAGATGCTGTCTGTCACCTGTAGCAACAACCAGTTCACATTTGGGTAACGTTCAGTGCATCGTGCAAAACATCAGATTTTTTTAGCTCATATTCACTGAATGATATTATTTCCACCACGTTGCTCCTAGGCTACTGTTATACTTCCTGCATTTGTGTGTATGCGAGGGTCCACTAAGGTCCGAGTGACCTAAAGTTTTTCATAAGAGGGTGTACACAACGCTGTTTATGGCTGTCCATTTACCCTTCAATTTTTTGTGAACGCATGGACTGTCCACACAGCCAATATGGTACAAGGGCACCAACTGCACATGTCCTCCAAGCAGACTAGAAAGGGGCATAATGGTAAGTACGCACCTGTGATGTACGCATCCGCAAGGGGAGTATAATTGAGCCTGTAATTGGGCAGTTGCAACCCTTCAGCTCATCAGAATCTCATTGGTTTAGGTTTGATAGTTAAATACTTTTCTTTTAGTGTCACTTGTCATGTGTGGTAATTGGGCCATAAATCACAAGTCTCAGCTTTGTTATTAATGTGATTAGAGGAATCTCTTCTTAATTTCTACACATTTCTTTTAACTCATAGATGTCTTTATTCCCCACCAAACAAAGTACTTGAAAAGGTTTGATAAGCTGATTTGGAACTGGATTCAGCTTCAATAAAATGCTATCGAACCCCATACCTACTTTTAATTGTACTTCATTCATTCATTCATTTAAAATATTTGATATTTACTTATTCATTTATAATATTTTTTCAGTCAAAGTGTCCATTAATCATTTCAACTCTACATTTAAAGCTGAATTAGTTCTGTTAAAGGATTCTGGCCTTAAAGGCACTGTCTTGGTTTTTATTTAATTCTAACTGCACTATCTCTCATTGTAAACCTGATCTTGTACAGGGTATTTTCTTGTTTATGCTCTAATGCTACTTACTCGAACTATCCCTTTAATGCATTATCCCGCATCATAAATTTTACAATTCACTTCTGTATCTCTATGCACACAACACACACAAATACACACACACACATACTGAAGGTAGAGTAAAATACCTGTAAACACTTGTAAAAGCCCTTTGCCCATGAAGTAATGTGTTCTATAATTAAGGATGTTTTACTGATGAAATTACTGACTTTTCAATTGAATGAAACATTTGTCCTGTGAAATATATATTTTTCTAATTATTTGTACAATTAGATAATTGAATAATCAATTTACAGTGACACAAATTCAACAGATGTAATCTTTCATTAATATTATGGCAGGTTATTTTTTTAGATGATTACCCGTTACATGTTCAAGAGGGTTAGTGTTTGCAGTTTCTGTCACTTGCAGTTTGTGTTCAGATTATTATTTTGGTTTTTATTTTTGCATTAGGAACTGTGAAAAGTAAGTCCTGATTGAAAGATATTTAATAGCTGATAATCCATCCTTGAATCATACTTGTTGTCTCAGTTATAGAGTCAAGAGGAACTGAAATATTAGTGTTCAATTCAGTTTTATTTGTGTAGCACCAAATCACAACGTATTTTCTCTTAAGGCACTTTACCAGGATAAGGTTAAGACTTCACAATATTGTAGAGAGTGTGCACATTATATGCAGTACATGGTGAAACACTATTTGGATGGCTATACTGTATAAAGTTAGAACATGTCACCAAGATCCAAAGTATTTGATATCCAGCTGGTATTATGTTGAGAATTAGCAGTATTCAGGTCTGACTTATCCACTGGGAGACAATCCTGGGTGGTTCTTGTAGAAAAGCTCAGGGAAGTGGCTGTAAGCTGCTTTTTAATGGAGGTGGGGAAGTTAAGCAGATGCACATTTAACAAAGTAGCCAGTTAGTCATCACTGCAGGAGCAAAATGGAAAACACTTCTGACAAAGCATAATTTTAAACTTTGTTTTAAAAGTTTGTTTTCGGTTGTAAGATGATTATTGCCCCACCTGCAGTTGTCAGCAGCCTGCATGTATCAGTGAGTGTTGTCAGTCCTCTGGCCTCAGGGAGCAGTAGTGAGCCTATTCGTGCTTGGTGCACCACAATAATATAATAACATATAATAAATAAATAAAAGTCGGCTGTAATACACTCGTTAATATACTCCTAAAGACTTGATACTCTCGCCTTGACTCCTCTCTCGCGCTCTGATGCTCTCCTCCACCGGCACCATCCACTTGTGGCTGAGAACTAGGCCTACTTTCAGTCCTGTCTCCTTACATATTAACCGTATCTCATCAGTAACATGAATTATTTTTCCCATGTTAGAACTAATGACGTCTGCACTGTTTCACCTGTCCTCGCGATTCTCCTCCTTGCGAACTCTCTTTAAAATCTATGATTTGAGACATTGCTGCAAAAAATAAAAAAAACTTTAGGGAAACTTTTCAAGAAGCTGGGTGTGCTTGGATGTAAAAAAGATAATATT